ACTGCTGTACCCCAATTTTTGACATTTTAACCTATTATGTCTGTTTGTTTGGCTCACACATTGTTGTCAGTATAATGGAATTCTATGCGACTGTCATACTAGTGAGACTCTCTGAGGTTTAGCTAGCTATAAGACCAGGTTTGATCCGCCGTTTTCTACATAGGGAAATGCCTTTACCGGGTCAGGAATATGAAAGTTGTTCTCCATTCGTTTGATGTGGTTAAGCTGTTGATTTTGCCATTTGGTGAGGGACTTTCCGTTTTGAGTTTTCCTTGGAGTTCGGTATTATTGTTATCCTACTTTTTTCCATAGCTTTGCCAGGAGTTTGTCGTGTGGTACGGTATTGCACGCCTTTGGAAAAGGCAAGGCTCTTTAGGGAGCTACCATTTGATTTCTATGAAATGAAAAATTTTGTCCTGCATTTTTTTTAGTTGTAATCTCTGTCCTGCCTTTTTATTTTTCGCTCTATTCGGTCCTGCCTTTTTTTTATTAGTTTATTCTGACTTTTTTTACATAAATTTTCATCCAGCCTTTTTTTTTTGCAAAGTTGCTCATGCTGCCTTTTTTGTTTTTACTCAAAACTCCTGTCCTGTCTTTTTTTCAAATTTCATCTTTGTAGAATATCTGTGCCACAGATGACGACTTATTTGTTCCATTTGTAGCTAAAATCCCAACCTCTGTTTCTCAATTGTGCAATTACCGAAAGTAATTGGTCACCAAATTTTACATGTCAAGAGCAACAAGGCCGATACCACTGTTGAAGCAAGAACTGTGTTTCTTCGAGTGTGAGCCCATGTGCTCTTTCATTTTCCTTTGCCAACAGATGTCTCGATGCCATCAATAAACTTACTCAATATCCTTTATCATAATCAGTTCAATCGAAAATATCTCCCTACTTTATCAGTATTGACGACTTCAAGTCTAAAATTCCTGAATTTCCCCATTTATTATACTAGTATATAATCCCGCTGACCATATTATTACTGGTGACCTGAACATTGCTATTAACACTTTTCTACATATTGTTTCATCCCAAGGCAGAAAATATCTTCAAAATTTCAGTCGAGGATTATGGCAGGCAATGGGTTAGAGGCAAAAAACACGACATATATTATTTCTGAATGGGCTTAGGCAGAGAGTTCGTTCATACAATTTGGATTAAAAACTGAATGGTTCTATGAATACCCATGCTACATCGATCTTTAAATACCAAAATGCTAAGAACATGTCCTACTTCCATGACAAATATGTTGTTGCCCCGCAGATAAGCTCTAAACAACATCGTGTTAATGTGTTAATCCCAATACACAAACTACTTGATAAATGAATTAGGTACTAGTATTGACAATTCACTAGGAAACTCACCATAAACCCCCGCGACACTTACCAGAAAGGAAATCCTGAATTATCAAAGGTCTGTTCTATGTTCATTTGAAACTTCAAAAAAAAGTGAGGAACTGGCTTTTCCATCACTTTATTGCATACCTAAATAAAAGAGTTATTCCAAAGCATGGACAAACATATACCATCCAAAGAAATCCGCTCAAAAAACAGCATCCCTGGATAACACACAAAATAAGGAAGATGTTCAAAAAGAAAAGCCGATTATACCAGCAAGCTAAATGAACAAAAAATTGGTCAAACTACAGGCACTTCCAAAAAGAAGTCAAAAGTCAAATAAGAAAAGCCGAATGGTCATATATCAACGACACCATACTAAAAGGCCTAGAAACAAACAATACCAAGTCATTCTGGAAATACATCAAATCCAGAAAAAATGACAACATTGGAGTAGCCCCATTAAAAAACAAAGTGAAACTCATCAGCGACAGCAAAGGGAAAGCTGAAATACTAATACAGCAATTCAAATCGGTCTTCACAATAGATAAATCCACAAAAATACCAGACACAACAAAACATATTGAGGATTCTATACCAAACCTCGTAATAACAGAAAAGGGACTAGAAAAACTGCTGAAAGATGTCAACCCGTCAAAAGCTTCTGGACCAGATTGATTTCCAAACAGAATTTTGAAAGCATGTGCAAGTCAAATTACACCAGGACTGACAGCAATCTTCCAAAAATCTATAGACACTGGAACCCTTCCACAAGACTGGCTTAACGCAAACATATCATGCGTTTTAAAAAAAGGTGATAAACATGCTGCTGAGAATTACAGACCTGTATCGTTAACATCAGTACCATGTAAGACCCTGGAAAATATAGATCCGGTTACTCATGTGAACCCAACTACTTGTCACTATGAACGACTTCATGAAAGCATATGATGCCGGACTACAAACCGATATTGCCATACTAGATTTCTCAAAGGCTTTCGACACAGTACCCCATAAGAAACTACTATAAAAAATGGGCGATTATGGAATTCGTGGGCCAATAAACAACTGGCTGAATATGTTTTTGACAAACAGGAAAATAAAAGTGGTAGTGGAAGGAGAACAATCAGAAGAAGTAACGGTGGACTCTGGAGTCCCACAAGGCACAGTCCTAGGACCGTTGCTATTCCTTTGCCATATAAATGACCTCCCAGACGCCGTCAAATCTTCAGTCAGACTTTTCTCTGATGACTGCCTTCTTTACAGAACAGTGAAATCTCAGAAAGACCACGACATACTTCAAAAAGACCTCAAAAACCTAGAAGTATGGGCAGATAACTGGGGAATGCGGTTCAATGCCAAAACATGCTACACCCTAAGCATCAGAAATAAGAGCCATAAATTCTAGTTTAAATGAAAACATACTTCAGCAAGTCCAGCATAACCCGTACCTAGTCCTACAAATTTCGGAGGACCTCAAATGGACCGCCCACATATCAAACGTGGCAAAGAAAGCAAATTCAACACTAGGCTTTCTAAGAAGAAACTTGAAATACTGCCCACAAGATTGTAAAAAAAACAGCTTACATTTCGCTCGTCAGATCAACGATGGAATATGGAGCCATAGTATGGGACCCCTACACGGTAACTAACATAAATAAGCTTTCAAGGATACAACGTCAAGCGGCAAGATTAATCACCAGAGATTACAAGTCAAGAGAGGACGGATGTGTCTCCAAAATGCTTGCCCAACTGGAACTACAAGATCTCCAGACAAGACGAACAAGCCAGAAGTTAATATTTATGTACAAAGTGGTTGAGGGGCTGGTTCCCCTTATTGAACCAGACGAATTCCTCAAAAAAGCACGTCCGAAGAGAACCATAACTGCCAAGAAATTCGAAGAATACCACGCAACACATATTGTGGTAAAGCAAGTAAAGAATCACTCTAAGTGTTTTGACATTCCACCAAGCAAAACACCACAATATTCAAACTCATTCTTTGTGAAGACAGTGATCGCGTGGAATCAGCTAGACGACACTGTAGTGCGCGCATCAAGCGTTGAAAGCTTCAAATCTGTTCTCACGCCCCGTCAATAACCCGTTGTATTAAAGCCACTATTGGTATCGACAACGTATTCATACAGACAGACAGATGTCCTTAAAAACAAAGTTGTAACGCCGTGTCTTCCATGAGCTCTATGAAACCTCTTTCTAAACTAACAACATAACTTTTATTAGCAAATCAAAGCCAAGCTTCAGAGTTATTGTGGCACTTCCTAATCTAGGGGCAATGTGAATCAAATGTGGATACTTAAAAAATCCAAAGATCTGTTAGCGAATATACAATCTAAGTGTCTTTCCTTTTGCAGTAGTATACACGATTTCTGTTTATCTTTTACACAAATATTCCCCATTCGTAAACTTAAAAGAATAGTAGACCATCATAGTTTGTTTCATGAAAAAGAAAGGTACATATATCTTGTTTTTGGGAAGGACAAATCATACTTTGTAAAAAAAAACTATGATTGAAACAAAAAACACTCTGAAACGTAACATTATCAAGATGCTTGATTTGACATATGTGTCATGTTTGGAAGATAATCTGCATTCCCATGGGAATCAACTGCGCTCCTCTTTATACCGACTTGTTCCTTTATTCGTATCAAGCAGACTTCATACAATAGATTCCAAGGAAAAATGAACAGAAGCTAGCACATTCTTTAACTTCAAATTCCGCTATTATATAGATAATTTAAACACTAAATTAATTTAAAAAGTTTGGTGCTTATGTTGAACGCATCTATCCCACAGAACTTATTCAGTCTGGCTTAAGTCTTGACTTACATCTGAAAATTGACAATGAGGGTCAGTTGAAAGCAAAATTTTACAACAAAGGATGACTTCAGCTTCCCAATTGTAAAATTCCATTTCTATGTAGCAACATTTCAGCAGCGCTTGCATATAGATCTCAAAGATGAAACGATATTCCACAGCTTGTGTTCCATATCAATATTTTCTTGATAGAGGGATGCTGCTTACAAAAAACCTATTTAACCAAGGGTTCCTAGTCATATAAGATTGGAGTCGAATGCACCTGTCACGGGCAATGTTTGAACTCACAACACCAGTGTTTGCATACACGGATTCTATAACTTGTGATTAGCTTCCTTTTATCTGACTCAAACTTTGTAATCTTGTTAAATTGATGTGAATATGAAGTATGGAATTAAAATAAATTCTATCTTGGGAATCATACAACATTTCTAGATCAAGGTAAAAGTAAATGTAAATATTATATCAGGATTTTGTGGACACTCTCTAAGTCACAGAGTCATACTTCTCTCAAAAAAGTCTGTTCTAAATTGCTTGTAGTCTGGCTTTTTGGGTATCTGAAGAAGGCACATAATTGCTTTTAATTAAAACTGATGTTAATGTGATAACAACCAAATAAAATATTTGAATAACAAATGGACCTTAATATCTGCCATTATATTGTATTAAAGCAATGCGGAAAGCCCACATACAACTGGAATCCTAAATCATTAAACCCTGCAAAACTTGTGGAAAATTTAAAACTACTAATTATGACTAAAAAAAAAATGTTTTAATTCTGGATACAGATAAGGTAGCCTGGAGAAAGATATATAACAAATAATTCATAAATATTTTACCATTTTATTTCATTCATAGAAGTTTTATAAAATATTTGTGATGATTTAAAAATTCAGTAAAACCTTTATATACATATATATTGCACATAATTTTCACATCAAATTTCAACCACTTGATGACATGGATTTTATTAATCTAATTGATAAACCAGCTGAAGAATTTTGTGGGTATAGATTGGGTGTCCACCCAATAATGACTTTTTTTTATTCTTTCTGGGCATCAGTGACAATAAACAATTTTCAAAACATTCAACATGTTACCACATAGATGGATGTATAAATAAACTCAGGATTTTGATATATGACTGAATTAACTAAAATGAACAGTAATTAAGTTATTTATGTATATGATTGACTAAGTGTTGTTTTCTTAATGCCCATTGGCAAATAGTTCATGCATTTTCAGTGTGAAATGATGTTATAAGTTATGTAAATACAAAGAGGTTAAGAAAACAGTAAAATTCCTTTAAGTACTGTTTTCTTCATTTATGAGAACAAAACTTTCATGATTCTCCAACTTTGTGAAAATTGTATTGCCTGTTCCTGCAAAGAATAGCACTTACAATAAATACAAATACCTATCTATAAACACCTTTAAAAGCTACCATTGATATTTAAAGATAAGGCGATGAGGTATCATTTACATGAGACATTTCATTACATATTTATCTGATTATAGTTGGTTGTATTTTTTTGCCACTCTTTCCTAAAAAATATTGAATGAGTTTCTATGATCTGTAATCAATTATCATATTATATATTCAAATATAAAGGTACTGACTGGGATTGAATATTCTATTAAAATGCTATTCCTTCACTTTGTGAACAAAGTCATGTTTTTATTCCAAAAAATCATTGGCTACATATGCTGGATGTCACAATTTAACTTGCAAAGTAGTTGTATTTTGAAAATTAAATCATCATAGATACCAGGATTGAAATTTTGTATTTGCGCCAGACGCGCGTTTCGTCTTCAAAAGACTCATCAGTGACGCTCGAAGATGGATATTTCTGTTTATAGTGCTAGCTTGGAAATAAAATTTCTATTTTTAAGGAAGTCTATATGTACATGTATTAGTTCACTTTTGAATCATAAAACAGTTGTTTTTCTTAAAAGTTTTTGCTTAACCAAATTAAATGAATTTATGTGCTGTATGCGGAATAAATTTGAAAGATTGTGCAATAATTTTATAAAGGGGATATCATATATGTTGTGTAACTATTGCCATTAAATGGCAGTCAGTATATAAGCTAATTGCAAGGGTTGTTAGTTATCGAGGACTAGGTAGTGACCACACAAACACACTTAGTATAGGTAGAAGTTTATTTTTTACAAAAAAATTTATATAGTGCAGTATTCAAATGCCTTGTATTTATTATGTAGATTATTTTGTCACAGAACATGACATTGTTCAAGATTCTGCAAGGCAGTATATCTTGTGTTGTTTTGATGGACTTTATTATTGTAGCTTGATGGACTTTAAAGGCAGATACATTCTGTATTAAAGAATAAATTTTGAGGTGGTCACTGCGCCATTCAGTACCTACCGTTGAAGTGTACATATAAACAACATGTGCTCAATCATGTACACATATGTTCAAAATAGATGAAGCATTTTAGCACATAAATACTTTATGTTTGGTTAAACAAAGTGCATTAAAACAGAAAATTACTTCCTTTATGATGTGTCTTAAAGGTAGTCTGCTTTGAAGGCAAGAGAGCTATAAATTGTCTTATTAGAATTAAGATAATTCATGCTGGACATATTCTATATCTAAAATAGAACTCTTGACTTAAAATGAATTTTCATAAAATTTTGACAAAATATTTACTTTGACCCTTTGACAAAAATATAAAAATTTCAAAAAACTTGAACCACACACTTTATTGGAAAAATTTCATTGGATATATAGAAGTTTGACAAACACTAATTTTGATCATTGAGAAGCTTAATATTTCCTTAAAAATAGAACATGATTAAAATGTTCAGCTGATTTTTACAGAGTTATCTCCCTGTAGTGTTATGTACCACCTAATTCAGATTATGGTAAGGACCTTTCAATGGTGTTTTTAAATGCTGTGTATAAAACATGGTGATAATGATTATGTCATGTATATTGTCATAGAAATGATAATTACAAATAAGTCAAAGATACAATCAATGATTTTACAACTTTTAGCATGAACTGGAGAGTACAAGACAACAAATTTAAAAAAAGCATACCTACGAACCATTTAATATTGCATTGGACATTTTTGAGTATGAGGTATGAAAGATAACTGAGACAAAATATAGAAAAAATTATCCTCAAATTCACAACTTTGAACAAAGGAAAGTATAACTGATAATGGTCTCATTTCTAATATAAGTACCTACATTAGATTAATAATTCATAATTCTTAATTAAAAAACCCAAACCAATAAAATTATACATTGTTTTGGGTGAAAAAAATTTTCTATATGTTTCATGTAGATTCTGAACATGATTTTGTTAAAAAAAACAAACAAAAAAAAACAAGACTTTCTGATAAGTTAAAAACCAAACCTACCTGTCTTGACGTATAGGACAGGCAAGATAATAGTATTGTATTTGAAACTTTATAGACATCAATTGATGATTTGATGCTAAATCATACATCTAAAAATCTAAAGCATGACTTTTGCGCTCGCCTGCATAATTTCACACCATCAATGCTACAATTGATGTCCTGAAACTTGTGGCATTTTCCATCAAAATTAACATTACAATCAATCACAACAGACATAATTATCATTTATAACATGAATAATTATCATTTATAACATGAATAATTATCATTTATAACATGAATAATTTAAAATTTAGCACTGAAGGACTTCTCAATACATTTAATAAACTTAAAGGAAATTAGCAACTACTGCAACATGATCACTCTGACAATTCACAATAATTATAATAATAGTTCACCTTGAACATACTCATTCAGGAACCGAAAAATTGACATGCTCTGTCCACTTTTTTTATGGTCAAATGACATGTTCTGTCCACTTTGTTATGGTCAATAGTCAACTAAATTGACCCTATATACCTCTTCCCTCAAGAACAATGATTGTGCAGAATTTTCAAATTTTCTTCTTTCTTAACATATATTCACAAATATGAAATTCTACCATAATTTGTGCTTCTCTTACATAAATTCTTTTAAGAGTAATTGAATAATTTAACTTTTAAAGATGAAGACTTCAGTAAAATCAACAGAGAAATTAACTCCATCATAATTTCTTTAAAAAACTTATACATATATATTGAGGTTTTGTAAAGTTTTCATTATAAAATATTTTGAGGCACATGTCAGAATTATAAATGAAAGTAAAAATCAAATCTAATTTGCTTTAAACAAACTGTGATTCAAATTTTTTTAAATATATAGCGTAATTGAAAAAAAATGCATTTTGGTTTGACATCATATGCCAAAAAATGGACAAATCCCTCAATAAAATATCAAATCTTTATAGAGGTCAATAAAAAAAAAACCAACCAGTTAAAATTTAATAGTACAAAAATATAAACACATTTTTTTTCTTCCCATATTTAATCATTATGCTTTCCTTAAACTCAGAATCAATCAATATTAAGTTTCAGTTGTAAAAACGAAACTATAAGTGTCAAACATTTTAATGATTGAGATTCTTAGTACTTTATTTAAATAACTCTTTCTGCTTTTCTCCAAACCTGCAACATAAATTATACTTATCATTGAAATTATTGGGGAAAGTCGAAGTATTTTATTTATTTTTTTGGCGACCTGATTTAAAAAAAAAAACTTAGATAGGTCAATCTGCCGCATAAGAGGAGGCTGAGAATTTTCTGAAAAAAAAATATTGTCTTATCCAACGAAATTTACAGTATTCATGATCAATAGTACTCTTACTTTTAACTTTACCATCATCACCAGAACACTCATGACCAATAAAGTTTCATTGGCTGCAATGATACCATCACTAGAACACTCATGACCAATAATGTTTCATTGGCTGCAATGATACCAAAGCGTTATGTTATCAAAATGTGATAAAACCTTTAAACAGATCTAATTCTTTTCTGCTGCTTTTAAATGCACTGATAGTTTTATCAAAAAGGTTTTCAAGGCACAGAAAAAATATAATCAAATGCCTTAAAAGAATGCAGATCTTATCAATATTATTAAAATTTTCCAATTCTCTTGTTGAAAAGGTAGAAAAATTATTGATATTATGCAATAACAGTAAAATCATAGATAATAGGAACCTATTTGCATGAAAAAACAAGGAAAAATAGTATTTAATATTTTAAAAGGTAATTAAATTGGTCCCATCCTTATGTCACATTAAAAAAAAAAATACTGTAGAATTCTAACTGAGGTACCTGTGACTTGTCAGTACAGTGCTTCACACCATGATTTTGATTTTGATTTCTCATAATATTTTTGTAGATCAGAACGTTGAATTGGTTTAAGTTTTCACAGAATTAAAATGCCATAAATCATTTTGGATACAAGCTTAAAATTCAAATTACTTTTTATTTCTGTATTGCAAATCTTCACTCAATTAAAATGGAAGACAAATTAATGCAATATTTTAGGAAATTTTGTTTTCAAACATTACAATGGATTTTAAAATTAAGAGTTTTAATAAATCTAATACTAGTACATTCTCGTTTTTCACAATAATAAAAGTATTGCAAATTTATAAGTTATATTAAAATTATGGTTTTTAACAGTTTGATTTTTCAGAAATTAAATTCATTTGAAAACTGGTATTTCCAGAATTGTACATTTATTAAACACTCCTTCAGTAAAATAAAAAAATAATAAACATAGAAACAACTGAGTCTTATATTTAAATCTTTAAAACATATCATTTATAACCTAAAATAATTTAATCAATCTAATATTTATAAATAAAATACATAATTGGCACCAGTAAAGTAAAATATCCCATTCAATAATTCATAAAAAAACCCATCTTTTACAATTTTCTATCAAAGACATTATTTGCACTAGTAAATAAAGTATTTCATACAGTTACAAAAAGTGCCCATTCATAACTTTCTATCAAAAATTCAAAAATAAACCACTTTTCTAAAAGCACATAACATTCCAGTTTTTTAAAACACTGTAAATGCTCAATAAAGCTTTGATTAGGCAAGGATAAGCTGTGAAATCTAATATAAAATTCAAGAAATGGTCCCAATTAAAAAAATCAGTTTTCAATAATTTCATTCTACAAGCACCAAGGGCTCTTATTCTGTCGAACACAGTATCCAATATTTTCTACACACTTTGTTCATCATTCATTTATACCATCATACAATTGTAGATCTAGTTTGACTACTACCTCACCAGAGGATATTTCATGCAGTAGAAGTCTTTTAGAAATAGGTCCTCTTTTTTCATTAGATTCTTGTAAAATTTCTTTAACTCTGATTTCTGTTCTCCCAAGAAAATCTGGAAAATGAATATTAAACATGTGTATCTTAAATGTAAATTAAGAAATTTGTCTTAGCTCATGCAAGTGATTCCAGTACAAATCTACTTATTGTTTGGAGAGAGTTAATCTATGTCAATCAATATTGATTAATATACATGCAAAATTATAGCACAATAAGAGTCCTACCCACTTTATAAACTAACTACCATTTGGAGAAAATAGACCTCTATCAAACAAAATCCCATAATGATAATCTCCCCTTGTGAAATTATTTTCCTTTAAAAAACTACTAACCATTTGGAGAAAATAGATCTCTACCAAACAAAATCCCATAATGACTATCTCCCCTCATGAAATTCTTTCCCTTTAAGAAACTACTAACCATTTGGAGAAAATGGATCTCCATCAAACAAAATCCCATGATGAATATTTCCCCTCAAGAAATTTGTTCCCTTTAAAAACTACTAACCATTTGGAGAAAATAGATCTCTATCAAACAAAATCCCATAATAATTATCTCCCCTCAAGAAATTCTTTCCCTTTAAAAACTACTAACCATTTGGAGAATAAGGATCTCTATCAAACAAAATCCCATAATGAATATCTCCCTTCATGAAATTAGCTCCCTTTAAAAATTACTTACATTTGGAGAAAATAGATCTCTATCAAACAAAATCCCATAATAATTATCTTCCCTCATAAAATTCTTTCCCTTTCAAAAACTACTAACTATTTGGAGAATAAGGATCTCTATCAAACAAAATCCCATAATGAATATCTCCCCTCATGAAATTATCTCCCTTTAAAAAATTACTTACCATTTGGAGAATATAGATCTCTATCAAACACAGTTATACATAATACATCTTGATCTACATCACGTATAGTGAACTGCATGTTTTGGTTCCATTTAGGATTAAGTGTGGCTGGTATCACTTTAGTTTTATGTTCCTGGGCTCCCATACTCACTTCACAATATGGGTCACTTTTTCCTATCATAAAGAAATCACAAAATATAAAATAATACCTACTGTGAATTTATTTTTATTCACACTGTACAAAATTCTCATGGATTTCATGGATATAGGTGAACCAGTAATTTAAGTGTTCAATGAAGTCCTTAATATAAATAAGAAGATGTGGTATAAGTGCCAATGAGACAACTCTCCATCCAAGTTACAATGTATAAAAAGTAAACAAGTATAGGTCAAAGTACGGCCTTCAACACGGAGCCTTGGCTCACACAGAAAAGAAAGCTATAAAGGGCCCAAAAATGACTAGTGTAAAACAATTCAAACAGGAAGACCAATGGTCTAATCTATATAAAAAACGAGAAACGAGAAACACTTATGAACCACACCAATAAACAACAACCACTGAACAACAGGCTCCTGACATTGGACAGGTGCATAAAAATACAGCAGGATTAAAAGTATTAACAGGCGCCAACCTTCACCCTAACCTGAGACAGTAGTGTAACCTTACAACATAAAAAGACACACTATAAAATATCAATTGAAATGGCTTAACTCGATCAAAAAGACATTTAAACAAAAAACCAGTAAACATACTCTGAACGAATAAGTTTGATCTATGACACTTAAGGCTGCTAGTAGAATTTGTCAAAACAACAAAATAAAGTATCCACCAAAATATATTTTTTCCTCCATCCATGACAATTGGCATCCACAATAATAAATGAACCCACAGTAGATAATGAATGCTATATTGCGGGTCTCATGGCGGAGGGGGCTTGATCCCGAGTCCTGCTTACTGTTTTTTCAGATTCCCGTATCCCACTTACCATTGTAATAATAACGCTTGTAATTTCATGTGTCGCGCCTGACTCCATTTCCCATTTTCACACACAATAATTTGACTTTTACGTGTCCCGTTTACAAAAAATCGGCCAATCCCGCGTCACGCTTAGACCCCAATGAGACCCACTATATTTCTGTTATCAAAGGAAGATATACAGTATGTCACCACAAAAATGTACCAATATACAAATTAATGTATGTTAATATAAAATTTGTGACAGCTTAATTGTTCCTTATGAACATAACATCACTTGTTTTCTACTATAAAACGAACTAGAGGCTCTAAAGAGCCTGTGTCGCTCACCTTGGTCTATGTGCATATTAAACAAAGGACACAGATGGATTCATGACAAAATTGTATTTTGGTGATGGTGATGTGTTTGTAGATCTTACTTTACTGAACATTCTTGCTGCTTACAATTATCTCTATCTATAATGAACTTGGCCCAGTAGTTACAGTGGAAAATATTTTGTAAAAATTTACAAAAATTTACAAAATTTATGAAAATTGTAAAAAATTGACTATAAAGGGAAATAACTCCTAAAGGGGTCAATTGACAATTTTGGTCATGACGACTTATTTGTAGATCTTACTTTGCTGTACATTATTGCTGTTTACAGTTTATCTCTATCTATAATAATATTAAAGATAATAACCAAAAGCTGCAAAATTTTCTTAAAATTACCAATTCAGGGGCAGCAACCCAACAACGTGTTGCCTCATTGGTCTGAAAATTTCAGGGCAGATAGATATTGACCTAATGAACAATTTTACCCCGTCAGATTTGCTCTAAATGCTTTGGTTTCAGAGATATGAGCCAAAAACTGCATTTTACCCTATGTACTATTTTTTAGCCATGTCGGCTATCTTGGTTCGCGGGCGGGGTCATCGGACACATTTTTTAAACTAGATACCCTAATGATGATTGTGGACAAGTTTGGTTAAATTTGTCTCAGTAGTTTCAGAGGAGAAGATTTTTGTAAAAGATTACAAAAATTTACGAAAAATGGTTAAAAATTGACTATAAAGGGCAATAACTCCTTAAGGGGTCATCTGACCATTTTGGTCAAGTTGACTTATTTGTAGATCTTACTTTGCTGAACATTATTGCTGTTTACAGTTTATCTCTATCTATAATAATATTCAAGATAATAACCAAAAACAGCAAAATTTCCTTAAAATTACCAATTCAGGGGCAGCAACCCAATCATGGGTTGTCTGATTCATCTGAAAATTTCAGGGCAGATAGATATTGACCTAATGAACAATTTTACCCCGTCAGATTTGCTCTAAATGCTTTGGTTTCAGAGATATGAGCCAAAAAACTGCATTTTACCCTATGTACTATTTTTTAGCCATGTCGGCTATCTTGGTTCGCGGGCGGGGTCATCGGACACATTTTTTAAACTAGATACCCTAATGATGATTGTGGACAAGTTTGGTTAAATTTGTCTCAGTAGTTTCAGAGGAGAAGATTTTTGTAAAAGATTACAAAAATTTACGAAAAATGGTTAAAAATTGACTATAAAGGGCAATAACTCCTTAAGGGGTCATCTGACCATTTTGGTCAAGATGACTTATTTGTAGATCTTACTTTGCTGAACATTATTGCTGTTTACAGTTTATCTCTATCTATAATAATATTCAAGATAATAACCAAAAACAGCAAAATTTCCTTAAAATTACCAATTCAGGGGCAGCAACCCAACCATGGGTTGTCTGATTCATCTGAAAATTTCAGGGCAGATAGATCTTGACCTGATAAACAATTTTACCCCCATGTCAGATTTGCTCTAAATGCTTTGGTTTCAGAGATATAAGCCAAAATCTACATTTTACCCCTATGTTCTATTTTTAGCCATGGCGGCCATCTTGGTTGGTTGGCCGGGTCACCAGACACATTTTTTAAACTAGATACCCCAATGATGATTGTGGCTAAGTTTGGTTAAATTTGGCCAAGTAGTTTAAGAGGAGAAGATTTTTGTAAAAGTTAACGGACGACGGACAACGGACGGCAAGTGATGAGAAAAGCTCACTTGGCCCTTTGGGCCAGGTGAGCTAAAAAAGGAGTTTCTATGTCCCCTGCATTGCATATATTTTATCTGTCCAATGGCAATAACTAAAAACACCTTTTTTTCTGTTTCTTTTTTTTAAAGGATTTTTACAAATTATATCTGAGTGAAATGAAGGCTTGATAGTGCTTACAATGCAATTTTCAATATTATTAATATTTCCAAGGGGCATAAATAACTGATCGGGACTGATTTTTTTACTTGTCCAAGACATTGCTGATATAAACCTATACTGGTAATATAAGTTTTATTAAAATAGGGTTAGAATTTGTAAATTGAAAACAAAGCTTGAGGCATGGACAGGGGATGGACGAACAGACTCCTGGTATTTCTATGTCTCACCAAGTGCATGTAAACATAGACATGATATTAGCTGCAAGAGGTTTGTCAACTGATCAAATCTATTCAAATGCTTACAGTAATTTTCCAGAATTGTTTGCTGTTGAATAAAAATGTTCCTGTAACTTTTTTCAGAATTGTTTGCTGCTGAATTAAATATGTTCCAGTAAGTAAATTGTAACCCTAGTTCATGTAGCTATTTTCAGTTTGTCTATTTTTTGGCACTTAAGTGTTTGTTTTATTCTGGATATAATATAACAGTCTTAACAGTGGTCAACAAAGAATGTTTTAAGTCTTATAAGTATGGTTTTGAATAAATCAATTAAAATCCAAAATTAAACATAAATTTACATTAAGTATTTGCATGTAGTCAAAATATAATTTATCTTTTCCTCTACAGAGGCAACATCAATTTAATACCTAATTAGTTCTTTTGAAATTACAAAATTGTAAAATAGAAAGTACCGGTAATATATATATTTACAAAAGAGTATGACAGATCACAAGATAAATCATAGATACATACTGTGGAGTCATTATTATATGTTGGATACCAATTTTCGTGGGTTTCGTGGGTACAGGTGAACCACAAATTCAAATGTTCAACGAATTACAAATTTTCTATAGGCTTTGTATGCAGAGATTGGCTAAACCACAAAATCTAATATCCAAGAAAATGCAAGTTTTCCTTAATCCACGAAAATTGATACCCATGAAAATAAATGAATCCACAGTAAAAGACAAACGAAATAGTAGAAACACATAGTTACAAGACAACAGCGAACAAGCAAAGCAAGGTCAAGGGTTATACATGACAACATACCATTAGCATCTCGAGGTTGGAGGTCACAGCCTTCTTGTATCAACACCAGCAGTCGTCCAACCCCACCACTTCGTTTTACTGATAACATGCAGAGAAAATAAAAATCTGATGTCATAAAATCATGCAAACATAAAATATGCAAATTAGGATAAAACTAAACCAAGTAAGGTTGGGAGAATATATAATGAATAGAAAAATGTGCATGGTATTAAAATGTGTCCTGACAAATTGGCTATTAGCATCTTTAAAAATTTTTTTCAAAACCAAGAACAGATTTGGAAAAGCAAAAATAAGTTCGAGGTATAGCTGAAAATCTGAAAAAATCTGAAAAATTCAACAAATAATGAAATTTTGTAAAAGGGTGAAAACGTAATTTTGAGTTGGATTGATTTTCTTCCATTGATGTTAAGACCTTCATATTCTGAGTCATTCACATATTGCTTTGCCCATGAAATATCAGTTGAATATTCTATAAATTTAGCATAGAAATACCAAAAAATTCATAAGGGTTCCGCGGAACCCAGTGTCTCGCCTACTTTTGCTGTTAATCACAGGCTCAACAAAAATGAGGAAAAAAATTAATAAAAATATTCCTCCCTATACTATCTTTTGATTGTAAGTAGCTTCTGTCCAAGTTTGGTAAAAATCCAGGATAATTTATGAATCTAATAAATGTTTTAAAAACTTAAACTGCAGACTGTATGTAATGTTGACTGGAAGAAAAACTAAGTCCATTTATAAGTAAAATACGGAAAAAATGGAACAAAATTTTATCAAAATTTCCTTCTGGATACTATCTTATGATCATAAACAAGCTTCTTTCCAAGTTTGGAAGAAATCCAGGATAGTTTAAGAAAGTTATTAAAATTTGAAAAACTTTAACCACAGAGTGAATGTAATGTTTCCTGGCAGAAAAACTAAGTCCATTTATAAGTAAAATACGGAAAAAATGGATTTTTTTTTTTACAAAATTTACTTTTGAATATAATCTTATGATCATAAACAAGCTTCTGTCCAAGTTTGGTAGAAATCCAGGATAGTTTAAGAAAGTTATTAAAATTTCAAAAACTTTAACCACAGAGTGAATATTTGTGGACGCCGCCGACGGAATGTAGGATCGCTATGTCTCGCTTTTCAACAAAAGTCGAAGGCTCGACAAAAAATGATATGTCTTTAAAAAGTTTGAAAGTTAAAGACCTTCATCCTACATATCTTTAAGCTCCTCTTGGTAAAAAAAAGTACAATTCAAACTTAAAGCCAAAAGTCTGAATGGACTAGTGATCAAATTGTGATTATAATGATTCATTTTGAAAAAATTGTTGAAAAACTGCTTACTTATAGACAGCAAATAACATTTAATTTTGTAATTCTTTTTAAAATTACAATGGTCAATCTCTCACAGACGTAGTTTCTGCAAAATGAAATCGGAATGCACCTCCCGTATTTGTTATGATGTGTCCAATTAACGCTTCTCTATCATCTGGTACCTGTGGAAATGATTATGCTAAGTGACAACAAACATGGAATTGAATGTTCAGGTACCAGTGTAGAAAAAAATGCATACAATTAATTGTCTACTTCTCAATCATTTTTTTAATTTTGTTTTTAATTTAAGTAAAGAATGTTTGATCTAATATAAGTATATCAATCATACCAGATTTTTTGTCGCAAATGTTAATTTATTTTTTGAAGAGCAGACTTCAACAAAATTCTAAACAAAAAGGGATTTTTTTTTTTAAACAACAGAAATAAACTAAAATAAAACCATCATTTATTCTTAATTTACAAAAGCATTCCTTCTTTTAAAAATAAAAAAAAAACTATGAAGTGATCTATTTTATATCTTTGTGTTTCAAAATTTTAAATTTTCTATTTGTAAGAAAATCAAAACGAGTAATGATTTCAAAAAGGCATGTGCAGCTCTTTTGAACAATGGCTTAACATTTCTGAGTTTCTTTTGAATTGAACAGATTTCCTTTTTTGCTATTAAAGTTAAGAATTAGTTCCAATTGTAAAATCCTAGCCAAAAACAGGAGATGTCATCTCTTTATACTTGACGTTGGTGTCAATAAAATGCTTTAATCAATGATACTGTCAAAATGTTCTGGCGACTTTGTACAGAGTTTTCTCCCTTGATTATCATGTACCCTTTTAGGATAACATCTCATCATAAGACTAGTGAAACAAGCTACAAATCTAAATAAGCAAAGCCAAAACATTGCATATCTTCTGCCAAGATAAAAGCAAGTAAATTTTTGGATTAATTTCAATTGAGAGGAGGTAAGAGGAGGTAAGATTTAATTTGAAGTTTGATTTATAGATTTATAGATTTCATCACTGCAACAAGTGTGTGACGATATTTCTCCACTCGAGACAGTTAAATTTTAATATTTAAAGCGTGAGGCTTGCCGAGCTTTTTAAATAATTAAAATTTAACTGTTGAGAGTGGAGAAATATCATAATACACGAGTTATAGTGGTGGAATCTGTTTCTCTATTGATTTTTATCCTTCCTTTTTCAAAGATTTGCAGAAAGTTGTGTTCTTTATATGTGACGTCATCAGGCATGGTCGCCTTTTTTCATGAGGTCACAATAGTAAATTCAGAAGAAACCAAGAAAGTTTGACGTCATAATTAAATTTCTACCAATCATTTGCCGAAAACAGACATTTCACTAGTGAGGAGAACAATTTTTTCACAATTGGTTGGGAAATGTGAAAACAGTGAAAAAATAAGAGAAAAATAGATCCACAATTTATAGTGCTTTGTTCTTCAATGGTCACTTATTGATGAAAAGAAGACATGCTTTTGAAAATCAAGTCATAAATATGGTTGAAATGGGTTAATCACATGCCGCCTTACCATCTTGTGAGGGGGCCAGGTTTATCCCCTCCACAATGATAACTAACATACGACCTACTTTCTGATTAGGTTCCTCCACTGAAATGGTTTGCATAATAAAATAGTAATAGAGTACAAACAAATTCTTAAAACAATGGCTACCTGGACGGTACAGAAAAGATATAGGGATTTTCAAAAAAAAAAAAAGGAGGAACGAATATCAACACTAATGATTTTAACAATAAACCTTTCTATATTCATAGCAGTTACACTATGTAACAAAATTATGTACATGTATATCTGTAAATCTAAATTTGACACTTCATCAAAAAGAGGGAGTCTCAACCCGAATTCCTGAGAAAATAAATACCAAATCCTGAAATCTTTGAAAATAAGATATCCGTTCCCACAATATAAATAAATCCTGAATTTCGGAATTCCTAAGGATTTAAATGGCTATTCTCAAATTACCCCGGGAAAAACAATTCAATCCTGAATTCCTGAAAAAGGTCTGGTAACTAAATTAATTTCATATACATATATTGGTACACTAAAAAGCATAAAAATCTCAATCTTACAGTTATGCACTTTCTCTCTCCTTTTTCTTTCTGTTTCAATATAATTCTTTGAAGCTGCATCCAAACGCTTTACCCAGTTTTCTCTAAAAATATTGAAAATTAAAATTAAAAACAAATCAACATTAATAAAAAAAATTCATAAATATTTCATAGAAAAACAAATATAAACCTAACCCTATTAATTCAGTCCCTCCCCGTAATCGATCTCTCCTACTTGCAATGGCCTGATTTCCTAACATGATAAAAACTCTTCATGAATCCTGGATATTGATTGGTGCCCTGTAGAAAAGGTGACCAATCAGCAATCAGCTCAATTTTATCAAGATAGGTAAATCCAGAGTTAATTCTGAATGATTGATTGAAGATTTTTCATTGTCAATGCATTCAGGCGATAATGAAGTAATGGTAGATCAGCGGAATATAACAACTGAATTATTCAGGTTAATATAAATCCTACAATACATAATTAGCAATATTTCAGAGTAGAGATAACTAAGAAGATTTCAATAAGGGGATGCAATCAAACTATTACAATGAAACCTTATATTTGTGATGAAATCAAATAAATAATAAAATGGACAGATGATAGTATGTTTCTCTCTTGTAAAACCTTTCCTTAGCATTCTTTCAAATGTGAGACTTCACTGCAGCCAAAGGCAATACTGAACCAACTGAGAAATGTTAATTCCATAAGATTGATCGTTAAATTGTTGGTTGCTTAATGTCCAGTGGCAAATATTGCATGCATGGTCAGGAGAACAAAACATTCCATAAGAATAGAAAAACCAAATATCAACATTAAAAGAGAGGAAAATTAAAAATAGGAAAGTAAAGATCCTCATAATTCTATAAATAAATTTTGGTATGATTACCATGATAACAATGAAGAAATTTAAATTTGAAGGTCTAAAATGGAAGAAATCTTTCTCTTAACATTAGATTTAGTTTTGAAGTCCATAACCCTTAATAACTTTCAGTTTGAGAACAACTGAAAAGGATTCTTGCAAATAGTGATGATTTAACTCAGTGAAAATAAAAGCGAAAAATGGTTGTATAGGAGGCCAATTTAACTATGTATAATGAAGTAATCATAAAGGTTCAACTCAGATCAACAATGGTTGAAATACATTAAAAGGGAAATAGATATGATCACTCATGCTTCAAAAATGTGCTCAGATTAATGTATGTAGAATTGTTGCTATGTTACCTCTCATTGTTACTAGATGTCTTGAAGTTGTACACCCTGTCTATATGGGACACTTGGAATTGACAGGAATCACTATCATCATCACCGATTCTTTTTACCATTATCTCATTCAGAAATATTGGCTAGAAAATAAAATCAGCATATTTATTCAGAGACAGATTTAAAGGGGCATGACAGAGTTGCAAATAATGAAAATGGTTTCATTTCATTTCATTTTTCGAAATTTGACAGGTTAAAACTAATTTTTGACTTTTTGACTTTTGAAATACATCAGCTATCATAACTTATGGTCAATACAACTTCAAAATAGCTTTATAAAGGAATCATGATTTTCAAAGATCCAGGATGTTGGTATTCACATTTTCAACCATTTAATTATATTTCAGAACCCCTTCCAACTTTATTTTTGTTTATTTCAATCATTCATTACTATTATCTATCTACCAGGTTATTAGTCCCAGTCCATTCATTAAACCAGCATACCATATGCATACTTCCCCTTCAATCTGACAAAGTGCAAAACCTTCAAAAAGAATGTTTGCTTCTCTTGTTTTTCACTTTGTGTCAGATATTTGGAATCCTCTAGTTTTATCAATGTTATGCCATAAACAAATTTTGCCCGCTAACCCTCTACTTTTCTTTTTATAATTTTATTACATATACTTTATAAAGCCATTTTTTTAAATCTTATAAAATCCTTGTTATTTTTTCATAGCTTTTGAAAGAAAATAAAATGCTTCGCTGGGGCGCAGCTTGATACGACCGCAGAGGTCGAACCCTGAACAGTTGGGGCAAGTATGGACACAACATTCAAGCTTGATACAGCTCTGAATTTGGATTGTTATTAAATATTTGACACAGCATAGGTTTCTGACACAGAAAGAATGTGGTCTAAGAACTTGATTTTTTTTTAATTTACCTATTATGGTCCAATGTCCAAAATCAAAATACATGGTTAGATTCAGCATATCAAAGAACCCCATATATTCAATTTTTGTTAAAATCAAACAAAGTTTAATTTTGGACCCCAACTTGGACAAACTTGAAAACTGGGCCCATAATCAAAAATCTAAACACATGTTTAGATTCAGCATATCAAAGAACCCCAAGAATTCAATTTTTGCTAAAATCAAACTAAGTTTAATTTTGGACCCTTTGGACCTTAATGTAGACCAATTTAAAAAACGGGACTTAAAATTAAAAATCTTAATACACGGTTAGATTTGGAATATCAAAGAACCCCAATAATTCAATTTTTGATGAAATCAAACAAAAATTAATTTTGGACCCTTTTGACCTCAATATGAACCAATTTGATAGCGGGGCCCACAAATAAAAATTCTAAATTCATGGTTAGATTCAGCATATCAAAGAACCCCATATATTCAATTTTTGTTGAAATCAAAAAAAGTTTAATTTTGGACCCCAACTTGGACCAACTTGAAAACTGGGCCCATAATCAAAAATCTAAACACATGTTTAGATTCAGCATATCAAAGAACCCCAAGAATTCAATTTTTGTTAAAATCAAACTAAGTTTAATTTTGGACCCTTTGGACCTCAATGAAGACCAATTTAAAAAACGGGACCCAAATTAAAAATCTAAAAACACAGTTAGATTTGGCATATCAAAGAACCCCAATAATTCAATTTTCGATGAAATCAAACAAAGTTTAATTTTGGACCCTTTTGACCTCAATATGAACCAATTTGATAGCGGGGCCTACAAATAAAAAATCTAAATACATGGTTAGATTCAGCATATCAAAGAACCTCATATATTCAATTTTTGTTGAAATCAAACAAAGTTTAATTTTGGACCCCAATTTGGACCAACTTGAAAACTGGGCCCATAATCAAAAATCTAAATACATGTTTAGATTCAGCATATCAAAGAACCCCATATATTCAATTTTTGTTGAAATCAAACAAAGTTTTAATACTGGACCCTATCTTGGACCAACTTGAAAACTGGGCCCATAATCAAAAATCTAAACACATGTTTAGATTCAGCAAATCAAAGAACCCCAAGAATTCAATTTTTGTTAAAATCAAACTAAGTTTAATTTTGGACCCTTTGGACCTCAATGTAGACCAATTTAAAAAACAGGACCCAAAATTAAAAACCTAAATACACGGTTAGATTTGGAATATCAAAGAACCCCAATAATTCAATTTTAGATGAAATCAAACAAAGTTTAATTTTGGACCCTTTTGACCTCAATATGAACCAATTAGATAAAGGGGTCCACAAATAAAAAATCTAAATACATGGTTAGATTCAGCATATCAAAGAACCCCATATATTCAATTTTTGTTGAAATGAAACAAAGTTTAATTTTGGACCCCAATTTGGACCAACTTGAAAACTGGGCCAAAAATCAAAAATCTAAATACATGTTTAGATTCAGCATATCAAAGAACCTCATATATTCAATTTTTGCTAAAATCAAACAAAGTTTAATTTTGGACCCTTTGGACATTAAGGTAGACCAATTTGAAAACTGGACCCAAAATTAAAAATCTAAATACACTGTTAGATTTGGCATAACAAATAAATAAATGTGATCAAAGATTTTACAAATCTAATGCGCCATACTGTGCAATTAAAGATTACTTCTTGAAATTTTTCAATATTTGAAATTTGAAAAAAAAATAATATTTGAAGAATAATTCTTTTTAATTTCTGAAATCTGAAATGAGAAAAAATTGGCCCCCCACAATTTCTTTTTATCCCCCCCCTCCTTTTTCCCCCAAAAAAATTCTTTCCCTCAAGATATGGTCATAATCTCAATTCAAATTTCCAATGGAGTTGGCAACCATAATTACCCATTTAAATTTACCATAGTGCTAACTTAATCTATTTTATAATAGAATTAATAAAAATATAGTGTCAAATCTTTCATATGGATTTTTTTGTAAAAAAAAAAGATGAAAACATTTGCAGATATTTTTACTGGTCTTCCTTTATAAATATGCATTTCTTTAAACATAATTTAAAAGCAGTGTAAGGGAAGTAACCAAAACGTTGTATTTGGATTACCTCCCTTACACTGTTTTAGATTATCTTTATTGTTCGTTAACCATTACTTTATACATAATTTAAAAGCAGTGTAAGGGAGATAATTTCAATGATGTATTTGATTTATCTCCCTTACACTGCTTTAAATTATGTTTTGTACTAAAGTATTTGTCCATTAACCAGGACAACCTTGTTTTTCCCCCTTTTTTGCCCCTAATTCCTAAACGGTTTGAGCCATAACCCCCCAAAGCAAATCCTAACCATCCCTTTGTGGTATGGAAACTTGTAGTATTATTTCAGAGAGATCCATACACCGTTCCACAGTTATTGTCTGGAAACTAGAAAATGCTCATTTTTGGCCCCTTTTTGGCCCCTAATTCCTTAACTGTTGGTACCATAACCCCCAAAATCAATCCCAACCTTCCTTTTGTGGTATTTAACCTTATGGTCAAATTTCAAAAAGATCCATTCACTTAAACTAAAGTTAGAGTGCGAAAACCAATATGTATTTGGACGACGACGACGACAACGACGCCAACGTCATACCAATATACGACCACAAAATTTTTTTGCGGTCGTATAAAAAAGTGCCAATGTTAAATGTATGAAAAATCTAGAGAGAATCATTTCCAGTCAAATTTTTCATTGCTTATATCTTTAAAACAAGGACATTGACCTTTCATTTTTTTCTAATTTTTAAGTTCCGTTATTTATATACTATCAATTGATAACAGTCTTTTAAAAAGCTTGTTATTTTGAAACATTGGAGCGAGCATCCTTAAATAATCAGATATACTCACAGTTTTGTACATCTTATATTGCGACTTTGCTTTTGGATCAAAGACAAACTTAGATGTGCTACTGCTAAGAGGACTGATAAGTAATAGAAAATCATTGCACAAAACTCCTACTAGTTCTTTGTTACTCTTCATCTGAAAAATAAATACAAATATGAAAAGAAATGTCACAATATAAATAAAAGTAGCTAAACAAGAATATGTGTCTGGTCACTCTATCACATTTCTGTGAGTAGTGGACTGCAAAATCTGGGTAAAAACTGTAGTAGGTTTGGTATAAAAAACTAAAATGTTACAATTTCAGTCCTTTATCAAGAGTTAATGTTTCTAAATTATAAAATTTGCATTCACATAGTTACAATGTATGTTATCATGACTCAGCAGTAAAAAAATATCATACTATCACAAATAAACATCAAAACTATCCTAGGAGAAATCACCAGACAATAAAACCTATCATTAAAATACAAACCTTGTACAATGTTCCTGAGTGTAATATCTTTCTAGGCCCAAGGCAGTTTGTCACAGAATTAAATGTAATTTTCTGAAAAGACAGAATTGGAAATATTTACTAAACTTATACTTTTCAATCATCAGTAGAAATTACTCGCATGGTCCAGCATTCATTCTATCTTGTTTAAGTTTTTCCTTACACTCTCTTTTTTACATTCTAGCTTGTCAAGAGTTTTCCCACACACCCTAATTCACCTGGCTACATAAATTGACAGATTACTCCTATAAAAATGATTAGTCCATTCTAACTTTTCAGAGTTTTCCCTTACACCCTCACTGACCTAGCTTAATGAATCTACAGCTTACCTCTACAAGTCCATCACAGTTTATATGTCCCTGCATCCATTCTAACTTGTCTGAGTTTTCCCTTTCCCTTACACCCTCATTGACTTGACTACATAGTTCTTCAGCTTTTGTCAAAGCCTCCTTCAAGTTCTGATGGTCAGGATGACCCTCTGGTGTATACTGTAGAATCTAAACACAAATAGTTATGCTTTTTTTTAACAAAATGATTATAAATGTGAATATGCCATACAAAAACTACAGATTCAAAATGTACCTCTTTTCAAAATAAAAGTGGATCTTTTGCAGGCATGTAAAAAGCATAGGCAATCAACATATAAAAAGTTTGCCTTGTGATACACAATGTTTCAATTATTTAAATTCAGAAAAACAGTAGTCTAAATGTTTCTTTCTAGTGCATAAGTGCATGTGCACTCATCAACACATCCATTTTATATAAGCTTTAAAAATTACAAGCTATTAACTAACGGCTGTTCAAGATTTAAAAAGCATTGGAAAGAGAGGGGGGTAATGGGAGGCATTAAAATTAATAAATTGTGGGTGAATGCATTTTCTTCTGAATTTTGTAAGAATTAGAAGTAAAATGAAAATTTTATATTGTGGGTAGTTGGGGTAAAAAATAAGTGCCTTCCATCCCCTATGTGTTTAAATCTGGAATCATTGAAAGCAATTTTAAATCCAAGCCATCCTCCTATAATCTTGAGTTTTTAATTTTTGAAGAAGAAAAAGAAACAGAAAATTCACGAAAGGTGTACAAATAGGCAAGGGCCCCACTTGCACATTTTTATGTGAGGCAAACAGACTGATACATACAAAGTTGTCAATTTTCATAAATTTTGACACAAAATCAATTAATTAAAGAAGTGTTCTAAATTAATATATGCTTTGTCAAAACCCAAGCAGGCCATAATCTTGCCGGCGAAATGACGATTTAAGTCGCCAAAGAATTTTGAAAATCGCTAAATCTCGCCGGCCGACTGACTTCATAGCGAAGTCAAATCGCTATCAAAATCGGTAAAAGGGAGACAACTTGTGATTGACAAGTCTCACAGGTAAAAAAAATGGCGGCTGACAAGGAAAATCGAGATTTTCGAAATGACCAAGGACTAATACTGTAAACGATCAAATTAAATAAATACAACGGCGACTTTGAACATCCTCGAATATAACTTTCAAAACTGTTCAAACGGAAAACTGACCGTCTGTTTAAGTTATCGTTTTACGATGATTTTCATCTGAGGATGTTGCGTAATCACTCAGCTGATTTGTTTTATTTTTAATACTACACGAGTCGATCAATTTTACTGTTCGGTAGGTAAAGGGTGGGAATTAACGGTAGATTTATTATATTCATTGAATAAAAATTGAAATATAAAAGGTAGAAAGACAGCTGATGGATAACGTGATTGCAAACGTACGACACTCGACCAGATTGTGATCAGCAGTGGATTTTTTCTTATGACCACTTCGTTGATATGGATGATATTTTTAAAAAATGTTAGAAATTAGCTCTTTATCGGATAATCAGCTTGAGATTGAAAGATATTTTCATTTATAGACTTACAATCTTTAACGATAATCTCAATTTACTACAACTAACATAAATGTCCTGGACATTCAATAATGTTTTACAAAACAATGACAAGTGGTGATATAAATTAAATTCCCAGTCATGTGAAATTCATCATATTTTTCTGGAGTTTTAAAAATAAATTGAGGCAGATGCACATGAATTTAATGCATTATAATCTTGATAATATTACTAGGCTACTCCCTCATGTCCCAATCAACAAATTTTATTTAGAACACATTATGGTATCAATAAATAAATAACAACTACATATTGTCTAAACCTTTTTATTAAGAACTTTCTATATATACATTGTGTACAATAACATATGAAATAACTGCAAGTACATCTTTTATTGAATATAAAACAATTTCCTCAGTGATAAGCTTGAAAACACGATGCAACCGAAACGGTAATGGAATCTCACTTCTCCAAGAAGTTGACCACTTCTCCCTTCTCTCTCATGGAAGGAGAAGTCACTTCTCCCTCTTCAAAATCCTAGATTAGGCCCTGAACCCAAGCACTGTCTATTTAGGTTGGCATTTTAGTAAATCTTGGGCAATCAATAATTTTGACACAGAGAATCATTTCGTAAAAGCACATGATACCTTTTTTATTTAAATGTTTATAGCAAAAAATAGGATTCTCAGAATTTATTATTTTTTGACAAAAACGAAGTTTTTAACACAATTTTGATTTGAAGAAACAATTTGGATTGCATATTATGCCTATAATATTTATCAATTTATGATGACACCTTACCACAAGAAGATGCTTCTCAAAGTTTGTGATTTTTTAACAAAAAGTAAGTTTTCAACATTTTTTTAATATGTCAATCACTGTAGTTTATATAGTTTAATATACCTATATATCAGTTTTTGTTAAAATCCTTTTCTAAGAAGACATTCTCAAATTCGTTATTAATTTATTTTAACAAAAACAAAGTTTTTCCCAAAATTAATGAGCTGAATTTCAACAAAATGTAATATTCACATCTACATAGTCACACAAGAACTGTACAAAATTTCAATGGCCTCCTACCTATACTTTTGGACGTTTTACATTTACAAAAATTATTGCTGGAAAGACAGACAGATAGACTGACGGACAAAGTGAAAACTGTAGGGCTCCTGCATCCTCGATGTCGGGACATAATTACCCACAGTCCTCTACATTCTAAAATAGTAAATTGAATGTGTACCAAACTGTGGTTAAATATGATAGAATGTATCCTACCTTCTGTATCATAAGTGGATATTTAGTTATTCTCTGCATTGGTTTCAGTAAGAAACTACTTAGTGGCATGGATTTAGTTTTAGGATTCTGTGTGCATTTCTGAAAATTAAAAAAAAATTTGAATTCTATTGTCATATAAAAATAGGTGGTGACAAAATGTTGTTCTAATTCATGTACATATAAAGTCACTGAAATAAAAAGACTAACAAGTATAAGAATTCAAATATAAAAAAAAATTCAACTTGTGGTGGGGTTCATGTTGCTCAGTCTTTAGTTTTCTATGTTGTGATTTGTGTACTATTGTTTGTTGGTCTTTTTCTTTTCTAGCCATGGCCTTGTCAGTTTGTTTTCGACTTATGAGTTTGAATGTCCCTTTGGTATCCTTTGCCTCTCTTTTGTGACCAAACGCTGATAATTTACTCATGCCATCCGAGCAATCAATAATCATTGTGCTGTTTGGTCACTTGCATATTTTTCGATATTTGAATACCTAAAGAGTTATCTATAAAAAAAATAACAGTATTCATTGTCAAAATAACAGGATGAGGTTATATGACAGTGGTGTTGTGTTGTCAAGCTGATAGATATAGAAATGTACATCAGATATTGAAAGGAAAAAGAGGAGAAAGGAGACAAAACTAGGACAATGATCAAAATCTTCTGCCAAACTTTTGGAAGAAAGAAACTTTGGGCAATAATCAAAATGTTCTACCAACCTTTTGGATCTCTCTGAACTCAGGACTGGTCTCTGTTTTATGCTGAATTAATGCTGCTGCTCTAAGTTGACAGCTACAGAAACGGATATAAGGGGTCAAATGTGGTAACTGCAACACAAAAAATATGGCAACTTTAATACATTCTACAAAAATATGTATACAAATGACTTTAAAAATAAGATGTGGTATGACTGCCAATGAGACAACTCTCCATCAGAGACCAAATGACATAGAAGTTAACAACTATAGGTCACTGTACGGTCTTCAACAATGAGCAAAACCCATACTAGTCTTATATCTGAGTATAAAGGAAGAATCAGTGTTTTGATAAGAGCAAGCATCACTGCACCCTCAAAAGTGACCGTTCATATTTACTGGTTTGTTATTAAATTTTAGACATACAATTTCTTTTTTTAACATCTGCATAAGAGGGAGGACATTTATTTTTTTTAATGTCATGGGGAGTGGGGTATTTAACCAGCAGCCTGAACTAAGATAATCAATGATGCACACAATTATTTCCTGTATTTTGTAGGGCCAAATATTCATTTTTATCCGATGAGGTGAAGAATATTTACTTTTTCTCTTACTCAGCTAGAATATTCATTTCTGAAATCCTCCGCCTACACCTACCAAACGCTTGTCTCCTTCCCATTTGGTAAATCAAACAGTCATCCCTAACGAAAGTGAACAATTACAAATTGCATACCATAAACTGAATATCAAGAATACTCTTGAATGATGTAATCTACTGATAACAGATATATGATACATAATTTTTAAATAGTAAATTAGAAATTCATTTTTTTTCAAGTGCTTGAATTTGCTGTTTATACAACTGACTTGGATTACAATACAGGTCCAAATTTCCCTGCTTATAGTTACTTTAATTCCAGGGATAAAGATCATTTGTCCCTAATACATTTATATTTCTGTTTTTTCACAGTTTAAATGATAAAACTTTTGTAAGCATGCAGATACCATAACTCATGAAACTTACATTTTCACATAATATATCTCCTATCACATGTATTACTTGGCCTTTTCCAATCATTTTCTTTCGTACTCTTAATGATCTACAAAATCAAATCATAATATAAACAAAACACTTGATGATGTTTAGAGATAATCAAATAAATGCTCACAGCCAAAACTTTGAGGAGTAATATTTCAATATATAAAAGGGGAGCTTTGGAAAAATCCTGTACCATGCTGTTAATAGTAGCTGCACTGAAGGTTTTGTATTTTGTGTTTTATTTTAACAACATATGGTCTTTATATATATGCAAAAAGGGGGATGGGGTTGGGTGAGCTATGAGGGGATTGTGAGCACGTAAAACTAGTTTAACCCCAACACATTTTGAGCCTGTTTCAAAGCAAGTCAAGTGGACCAAGCCTTGTTCATTGTAGTTGTATGGAGAATTTCTTATACTTAGTTTATCATTTTGTTAAAAGAATTTCTTATAGATATTTGATTATTTTGTTATCAGAACCAAATTGCAATTTACAAATATTAAACTATTTACCTGGAAAGTTTTGTGTTACATAAAATAAGTTCTGTCCAATTAACAAAGACAGATTCCAATTCCTCCTCTGTCATCACTCCAGCTTCACGCATTGGGTTATAAAATGCCTACAAAATAAATATATATCTGTAAATACATGTATATGTGTGTGTCGAACAATCCCTATGAAGTTAAGTTTTTTGGAGTAAGATATATTTGTACTATAAAGATCTAGAGGTTCCTTGGAGCCTGAATTTACCACATTGGAAAAATATGCAGGTTTGATGTTTATTTTCCCCTATTCAAAATCAAAATTTTTTTTTGGTAGGGTTTTATTGCTCAGTCTTTAGTTTTCTGTGTTTTGTATACTGTTGTTTGTCTTACGGTATTTTCCTTTTTTGCCATGGTGTTGTCAGTTCATTTTAGACTTATGAGTTTGAATGTCCCTTTGGTATCTTTGGTCTCTCTTGTGTATGTGTGTGTGGGGGGAGCTAACATTCAATCTCTCCACCCCTCTCAATCTTGGTCTGTCAATCAAATTAAAGATTACCTCCAAAACAATACCCATATCATCCATGTATGTTTCTTCTGTTTTGAACAGCTCATGGATATGATTCTGTCTTTTACTTTCCTGTGGTGAGGTAGTAGCTAGTACTGTTGGATCACTCGACCCTGAAAGGCATAAGATATGATCCATAAGTCATAAAGCAAAGGATAAATCTAGGAACATCCACAGCAAATTACAGCTTGGCATTTTGACCTTTGACCTCTATATTTACTAATCCTACCTCTGTCCTTCAAAACATCCAATCTTTTTTTGTGTTAATAATCTGCTTTTGAATATCCAGTAATGTTTTATGTGTGGCACTAATGTTTCCATCTATGTTAGCCAAGTTGAAAACATATCTACATAACTTCACAATGTATGCTAGTGACAAATGATGGTCCCCAGTATTCACATATTTTCAAATTTCCAAACAAAATCAAAGCAGATTACTATTTCCATGTACATTTAGGCAACGTTAGTAATTCTAGAGCAGTAAAATAAAAGTTCACTTTAATAATACACTTTACATTTCATGTCTGTTAATATCTTGGCACTAGCTGCACTGCAGAGAATATTGTTATTTTAATTTTGTATTTATGATTGGCACTCTCTTTTGACAAGAATGAAATAATGTCATAAATGTTATTCTATTCTGGAAATAAGCACATTTTTGTTTGTTTGAGCAATTTAAGGCAGGTAATAAATCCAACAGGAACAAGCTCTAATAAGTCCAGCACAGGAACAAACTCTACTAAGTCCAGCATTCTGCTTGAGAAAACCTGTTACCGTGAGTTCATTATCATTCACTGATTACCAATTCTTGTGCATTTCATAGGAAGAGGTAAACCATGAAAATAGATGTTCAAGGACATAAAAATAATTCAAACATTTGTATGCAGACTTTGGTAAAGCCATCATCATCATAAATCAAATATCTATGAAAATACAATATTCCCTCGATCCTCAAAAAATTGGTACTTAGGAAAATAGATGAATTTACCATAACTCAACAGGAAAATAGCAAAATCTTTTGTATGATTAAGAATGCTTTTGACAAATTTTTTTCTGTATTTCATGTCCGCCATTTACCCATCTTAAACTCAATTTTTAAGCTGATTTTCCCTAGATTCTTGCTATTTAAGTGGAATCCTTCTAATATTTTCAATCAGGCATAAACCAATAAATAGAGCTTACTATAAGGTTTGGGTTTTGTTCATTGTTGAAGGCTGAATAGTGCCCTATAGTTGTATACAACTATGTTCATTGGTGTTTGGTGGACAATTGTCACATTGGAAATCACACCACATCTTTTTATTTATATCCAAAAAAATGCAATTAACACTTACAGGACTATTTCGAATGAGTAGGAGGGGGGCCTCGGTGGCTGAGTGGTCTAAGTAGTCGAACTACTGTATCACTAGCCTGTCAACACTGAGGTTGTAAGTTCAACTTCAATCTTAACTGACTAGGGTTGTCAGTTTTCCTACCGAACGTCAATGGTTCTCTCCGGGCACTCCGGCTTCCTCCACCAATAAAAACTGACCGCCAAGAAATAGCACAATAGTGATGAAAGTGGGGTTATTATGGTTTAACACCAAATAATCGAATCAAATCAAATGAGAAGGAATTCTTATTCATGATGTCACGAAATGTGTTCACATATGTGTATTCAATACTTGAGAGCGATTTAATGCCTTGAAGCGGTTAGGTTTCTGACCTTTTTTTTGTCTGACATACATGATATTTAAGATTGTGAAGTGTTTTTTTTTTTCTTTCTGAAGTACCATGTCTGAATGATATCAATTTTTAGTTACTCTGTCATTGGAAAATTAGGACAGATCCTTTGCAAACAAATCAATATAGATGTTTCCAAAATAATCATGAAAGAAGTTCACTTAAATAACATCAATGCCAGAAAAATGTCAACTTTAATCTGCATAACACTACCAAATATCGAACATAAAATCAGGCTTATACCGAACGAACATAAAATCAGGCCAATACCAAACATAAAATCAGGCTAATACCGAACATAAAATCAGGCTAAAATGTCCCACCTGATGAAATATTGTGAAATTTTAAAAAACCAACAAATCTCAAAAAGTGAGGTGAAAAATACCAAAGGGACATTCAAACTCATAAGTCAATAATAAACTGACAACGCCATGACTAAATAAGAAAAAGACCAACAAACAATAAATAGTACACAAAACACAACATACAAATCTAAAGACCGAGCAACACGAAACCCCACCAAAAACTTGGGGTGATCTCAGGTGCTCCGGAAGGGTAAGCAGATCAAAGCTAACAATGTCTCATCATGAACTATCTAGATCTCAAAAAAGAAGTAACAATCCTTTTATAAACAAAGTAAAGGTTGAGATAAGATGTTGACCTCATTTGTAAACGCTGCCACAGCCGTAAAGTAAAACATATGCAAAAATCTACAATGACTTTCAATACAAGTGGGTGTGGCAAAAACTATTTTGAAACAATGATAAACAGTACTGGTAAGACACTAATCAAATGTTTTTAAATAAAGAAGTTTTGCTACAAATCTACTCTATTAATGGTACAAGGACATATTATTAAAGATGCATAGCTAACTTGTAGTAAACTTATTTAAGTGTGCTTTTTAAATAGAAACTTTAGTTACTTTTTTTCAGAGAATGTTTTCCTCAAGATGTCTGACTGACTTAGGACAAGATAAATCACAAAGCAGGATCAGACACATATATATGCAATACCTTAGAATGTTCATTAATAAATTTTACTGTTATGTGTGGGACTTAGCGTAAGTCTTTTGCAGCATGTTGCAAATTCATCATGAAATGGAGTAATGAAGCCGCACAGTTATCAAACACAGACAACAATGACAACAATTTATTGACAATAAAGCTTTCAAATTAATAATATTACAAAATATAACAGAAAATTGCTAATAACAATAATATGTATGATGTATTCTGATAAGTATATAAAAGTTTAGAAATGTAACTCTTGAAACTTCTTGCCTTTTTGAAAGCACCTTATCTTATAGTACCGGTTCTTGATACATTTTGTGTACTATAAATTCAGAAATTTTTGTGATTATTTAGTATTAGGAAAATTGCTAAAGTATGAATTTTTGCAAAAAATAAAAAACTTGCATTTTAAATCTTTATAGAATTATTCACATGCAGCATTTACTGAAATTGTAATAATTAATCTCATATTTTTTCATAGTTTGACAATCACAGTAAATGCCAGCAGCAATTTCTGAATTTACAGTTACTGATCTTGATAAATGCTGAAAACATGTCTACTTCAAAAGTTACTTTAAAACTTGTTAAAGAACTAATGGCTTTAGGCAGGAAAAAAACCAAAAACTATTCTCTTGCTTTTGCATAGGTGCATAAAATGGGCTCAAACATTTTTAGAGAGTCATCTAGCATAATTTGTACATGTGGTCTCTCAGGCAAGAAATTTCAAGAGTGACTTTTCTTAACTCTGAATCACATTTGACTGAGTAAATATTAGATATAAACATTCCTCATAACATTCCTGAATGTATAATACTTTTAGTACAAAGTTCCATAGAATTGGAAAACAAAATCATGTTCAATCAAAACTGAACATCCTTAAACTGCATGTCTGATACAAATGGTTTAAATATAGCTTGCAAGATTATGTTCGATCAAAACTGAACATCCTTGACCTCATGTGTGGTACAAATGATCTAAACATAGCTTGAAAATTATGATTATCCCCGACCTGAATGTCTGATACAAATGGTTTAAATATAGCTTGAAAAATTATGAATACCCTTGACCTGTATATCTGAAACATTTGGTTCAAATAAAGCTTGTGAAAGGGAGAATTGATTTTCATGTGTAATATATAGTTTGCAAAAGTACGATAATTCTTGACTATCACATCCATAACCTATTCTCCTACAAAAATTCCTGGAGAAAGCAGCTATTAAATATAAGGTTATATTAGCTTATGAGAGGTTTTGCAAGGATTAATCTTAATTTCATTATAAATGTAGAATATTCAAAATTTAATATGTATGAATTAAAAAAAGATGTGGGGAAAGCAACCTTAAATACATCACCAAAAAAACAAAAACATATGGTCTTCAACAACAGTGCCTTTATAAGGGCTCAACTGACCTTGATGAAAGATTTAAACAATGAATTTCCTTCCATGTTGTAAAAGAATATCATTGTAAAAAATTTAGATACAAGTCTTTAACTATTCAAATTTTCACTGGATGAAAATCTAAATGTTAAAGATTTGTATTTAAAAATTTTTTCAGTCCTTTTATTTTTGTGTTAAATTCTAAATAATCATGTATTACTGAACTGAAAATGTGACTATCCAATCAACTGATCCTACATAGTTTTACAAGAATTGAGATTAGTACAACATAGAATATGTTTGATATTATATGGCTATAATCTAACTATATTGCATAATTTATTTGCTATATGAACACTGAATAACTTCATATTATAGCTGATATACTTGAGTGTGTACAAAGTACAATGAAGGTAATCTTGCTTGTTTGCTAAATTGACCTCTTTTACCTTTGTTTAACTTCCTTTTTATTGAAAGAGTGCAGTTAATACTTAATAGTTGGACAGGTAACAAAAGGAGGACTGAAAAACCTCGATCTGATTAAAAAACAAATCCTCCATTCACGCTTCGCTTACAAGGAATCTGATAACTCTCCTTTCTACTTTCTGTTTTATAGACCTTTAAAGATCCTCTGGTCTTATTGCAATGTTACTTCATCCTTAAAAATTTGATGGCTGAAATTTCATTGGCTGATGTTTTGATAACTAAAACAGAACATTACAAACAAGAATATGTCCATAATACACTGATGCCCCACTCGCATTATCATTTTCTGTTCAGTGGACCGTGATATTGGGGTCAAAACTCTAATTTGGCATTAAAATTAGTAAGAGCATATCATAGGGAACATGTGTACTAAGTTTCAAGTTGATTGGACTTCAACTTCATCAAAAACTACCTTGACCAACAACTTTAACCTGAAGTGGGACAGATGGACAGATGGACAGATGGACGGACGAACGAAAAACAAACAAACAAACAAACAAACAAATGAACGAACAAA